CCCCCCCCAACTATACATGCTTGCTACGGCCCTGACCTAGCTAAAACAGTAAAAGCCGTTGTATAGATCCAAACCACAACAGCACAATTCCCTGGGCAACTACATATCACTAGTTATGGATGCACTGAAGCACATATTAAGGTATTTTTAATGAGTTTTTATTAATATTCTTTTGGAGGACCTAATAAGAACCTCCCTACAACAACTTATTTCTACTTTATTGTAAGTAATTTCAGTTTCCGTCATCCATTTTCAGCTGTTTGTATTTAAGTCTCTTCGTATAGTCCTTCCAGAGCAAACGTCGTCATCTTAATAGTGGCGACATTTTGGGTACGAGTATCGCGAACACTAGCAAATGAAATTTATAATATAATTTTTAGTATTTTCAAAAAAATAGGTTTAATCCTTTTCCTAGCAGGCTATGTTCTCGGCGGTGGAGTCGGGATGAGTTCAAAAAATCCAACTGAGAAATTAATTAAAAAATCTTGCATAACACTTAGGAATTTTAACAATACACTATACGGGATGTCAGGGGTGGAAAAATTTTTTTTCTTTCTGGGAACCTGGGTTGAAGGCTAGAAATTTTCTGCAAAATTTGCAATGTTACAATTACAAAAATAACAAAACAAATGCATAATTATTGTATTATTTGTACTTTAGTAATAATAGGCTTTAGGCTGGTTTTCATATGCTCGTACATCGCAATAGTTTTCTGTTATATACCACAGTTATGAGTTATGACCAACTAGTAAGGATCTAACGCTTAACTAAGTGTCCTATCATCTTATTTATTCCATCACTTTTATTTGTTTACTATTTAATTTGCATTTTATTGGAGACTTTGCAGAGCATATATTTACCATTTTACCTCATTGTGATGGCAGGGGTGGGTAAAAGAATTAATTTCTGTCAAATATTTAAAAGGCTGCTGATGTTAGCGTGTAGAGTGTAAATAAAGTAGAATAGTTGTAACTTGTAAGTTGAGTAAACAGAGTTATCTCAAAATGTTGAAATATTTTCTGGAAAATTTTCTGCGAAACTCTCAACTCAAAACAATTTCTGGGAACTAGGTTCCCAGGTTCCGATACTTTTTCCACCCCTGCGGGAGGTTGCAATTGATATCTGAAGAGCAGCTTGAAAACATTCCGATACTCAATAGAGCAAATGAACTTCGGTTTCTTCCATTATAAGCAGATCATTGCTATAAGTCAATAAGTGGAACAGGTCTAGATCTATTTCGAAATATGTATACGACAACTTACTTTATACTTGCTGCAGTTATAACCATGGTGGCAACGGATATAACAACGACCTTTGCACCGACAGTGTTGGGTACAGTAGTATCTATAGATTTTTCCGTAAAGTTTCTTGTACACAATTTTTCTGTTACAATATCTGCAGCGACGGTAAACTTAACAGAAAAATAAGAAGATATAGTTACGGATGGTAGAACCTTCTGCGAGGAAAAACATACGCTGTCACTTTACCCAGGCCGTTTTGTCCCCTGAGTCATTGCTAGCTAATGAAGATCTTGCAAAATTAGCTGTGTTTACCGACCAAGATCAGAGGTGTAGCCATTTAGCCAGCCCCAAACGAGTGTGTGTGTGTTTGGGGGTGGGGGTGATCTTGTTGTCGAATACACAGAACGACAAGGGATCCAGCATGGTCCGCCGGATATGATTTCTATTTCATCTATAATTATGTAGTATCAGCAGTCAGCTCATAACCTGCGTTCAAAAAACCCACGTTGTTTGCGCATGGAGCTGGAATTTAAACATTTGCCTTAACTTCAAGTTTTAAAGTTTGCTTTAAAGTATCATAAGATTAATGTTGACCTAAACTGTGGATACAGGGGCCGCGGAACCGGGGGGGGGGGACTGGGAGCATGTGTCCCGCCACTTTTTTTAAAAGTGAAAAATGCCCCTTTTTCTGGGCTAAATTGCCCCATTTAAAGAACGAAAAAAGTATTTCTTGAATGAACTCCCTCTTTTGCTGGAAAAAGTAGTAGTCAAGACTCTGTAAAGGCCATTTCCGACGTTATAGAAAGTCAGAGACTCCATATTTTCAAAACTTTTCGTTTGACTCGTGAACGACGTAAAATCTTTTATTTTGGTCATATATAAAAGTGCCCCTTTTGGCCACCACTTTCGAAATGCTTCCGCGGTCTCTGCGTAGATAGCCTGCAAACTCGCGCTCACTAACTTAATTTGGGTTACGCAGACTCTTAAGCTCAAGCCATTGGATTCCTGGTAAGGATTGTAAGACTGTTAATTTGTGGGAAAAGATATATTTATTGGAAGAATTGGTTGTGAAGAAAACTGTGGCGTGAGGTCTGTAAGGATTCTAAGGCTGTTAATTTGTGGGAAAGTATATATTGGAAGAATTGGTTGTGAAGAAAACTGTGGCCTGGTAAGGATTGTAAGACTGTTAATTTGTGGGGAAAGACTTATGGGAAGAATTGGTTGTCAAGAAAACTGTGGCGTGGAGTCTGTACCCTATTCCCCGCGTGGCTACGCCTCTGATCAACATATAGATTACACTAAGACGAACCAATGCTGCATGCCATTTGGATATGACTACTAAAAGCCTGAAGAACAACAAATTCATCAACTATCATGATTAAAAATTAGCCAAACTACATGTCAGTCTATTATGCCACATTCATTTACTATTAGGCTTGAAACTCAGTCAACTATACTTTGATCTTATACTCAGTATTAAATCTATTCATCCATCAGGATATTTATAGCCAACCATATTGTAGCCAACTCAGTGGAATATTGGATGTTAAACTGCATATACATGGAGAAGTACATTCAATCTAGTCCTGCGGTCCGGAATCAAAATGAATTCAATAAACTTTCCGTAATGTTTTTAGGAATGAAATGTTATCTCAAAACATTCAAGGATTTGAAATATCTTACTCAATTATATAACTAGGACAGATAGGATTACAACTTACTCCTAGCTCTCTTCTCTTCATCTTCTTGTTCATCTTCGTCATTTTCAGTTTCTTTTGTAAAATTTAAAAAAAAAACTTTGACTCAAAACATATTAATAACATTAACGTACTAACATACAGTGTCTTGCACTATTTTCTCAGACTTGAAAGACTTGTTCAATATTTAACGAATCCTGAATTTGCATTTCTTAAATGTTCCTCGAAAATGCGTAAAAACAAGTGACAATTTGACCGTGCAATATACTCTGACATTAAAAACGTGGGAAGATTGTATAATGTGTTCATTTCGAGTATGGTTCGATAAAGTGTCCCTCTCGGGATCCCGAGGTTTTTCAAGTCAGCTTTTCACCGAGAATTATTTGAGGCTAAATCCACTATATGGGAAAAGAGATGAGCAATCAAAATAAATAAATAATCACCTTCATCATTTTCAACGAGTTCATTTTCTGCTGCAGGTTCATCTTCAGCAATCTCCTCTTCAGCGGCTGGCGCAGCTGGAATACAATGTTTTTTTTATAAACATATTGTTTTCGCATTTCTATTTTAGTTTAGCTTCAGTACTTGCATGCAAGGCCTTGCATGCAATTTGAGTGCCATTTTTGGAGAAAATGGGGTGCACATTTAAGCTATTTGAAGATAATCAACTTTATGTATAACTATACATTTGGAGAGATTAACCTACAACACCTTAAGACTGAAATGTTATTATAGTTTTTTTGCTGTGATTGGCAGAACGTGAGTCATTGATTTACTGAAATCAATGATCAAGAGTATCAAATTTTTGGCATAAAAAAGACCATTAGAACAGAAAAGTTGTCATAATCCATTGGAATTTCTACTTTCGAACTGAAGGTCTTATTGCTGTTATCGCATGGAGAACGTACTAAAAATCTGGAGTAAACGGATATTAAAAAGAGATAAACTGTGCGAATTTAAAGCGAAGACGTTAAAGAAAATATTTGGGGGGGGATAACGAAAACTAATATAAAAAGTTTAAAACTAAATTTTACAGAGAAGGAACTGCTTGAGGAATATTGTGAAATGCAAGTGATTTAGGAAGGAAGAATAACTAGCTATAGAGAGAACTAGCTTTTAAAAAACCCCGAGAATTGTATTCTGATTTTGAAAATCACCTTGAAGTTGTAAATGATTAAATGCTTATGAATGATTGAAGGACTGAGAGGGAACCTTAAAATGCGGAGGAGAGAAAAATGAAATTGCGATTCATGAGATAAAACCTGAAGATTTTAGTGACTTACCATAGGTGCATGCCAATCCCAACAGTAAGAAGGCAAGTAGAGTAGCCGTCTTCATTGTTCTGTCTCTTTAAATTTTTCAATCTTCAACTTGATGGTTGCAATGAAAAACTTTGTGTGAAGATCTGCTGTTCAACGTCCCTTTTATACACTTTCTCAACCTTGCATTCTTTCCATTAAAAAACGTCTCCATGGTTTGTCGTGTTATTGTTGCAGGGAAAATACTTTTAAGTTTTTAGTTAAGTCAATAAGCAGAACACAACCGGAACATTTCACTTAACATTCTTTGATCTTCCTGCTCTTAGGAAGTGGACACGAGTGGCCATACTTTTGTTAAGGATCGAGCAAATATATACATACATTGACAATATACAGAGTTGATATTTCATTCGTGAGATCATTCATACAAATTTTACTCTTAAGCCAAATTTTTCGAACAGAGCTCGTTATTATAAATTCAATTTTAGTACAAGTAATATATCTGCTTAACCAGGATGAAACAAAATTGAAAAATAATATTTCAAGGGGGGGGGGGGAGGTGAATAGGTTTTCGGATCGTCGGATTCCGACGAAAAAATTGTTCAGATTTTGGATGTGGCGAATATTTTACACGGATTTGCGGATCCTATTAATACAGCGGATTCCGAATTTATCTAATATTTTGGCTCGGGTTGTGGATTTTGCTTGCAATTTAGTTCGGATCCTGGATTTTGACTTCATAGTAGAGCTTTTAGTGGATCCAAATTTTGACAAGACCATTGTCGGACGGCGGATTTTGCTTCAAATTTGGGCGGATCGAGGGTTTGTATACCCCTATTCACCCCCTCCCCCCTCAAACCATTTTAAGCAGGAAAGTCTCGTTTACACTGTTTCATAGTCTCAAAGCCATTCCAAAATGGGGGAGGGGTGAGATGGGGACACAAGAAATTATCATAAGGGGTAGTGCAGTTAATATGTAGAGGATCCGGGGTCGTTCTCTCCCGCGAACATTTTACTAAATATATTAAAACGGTTTATTAAAATCAAATCATCTCGCAGCCCGGAGGCTGAATTACATGATTTTTATAATAATTATATTAAAAAAATATAACTTTACAATTACAGTAGATCTTACTGAGGATAAAAATATTATAAATGCAGAATAAAAAAAACTATAATTAGACTAGTTCTAAGAGACTTGATATAACGTAAGTGTTTTTAAATCTATTTATATTACACCTTGGAATATTAAAAAAGTTTTGGATTTCTTAAGTTGTAAGTATTTGAATGCTTTGTAGGTAATTCACTATTGTCATTCACTATTGATTTGAAGACTTTAGTACAGCCTCGTACCCAGGCGCAAATACCGTACTAAAAATAGTAACACTACAGTGTTTCTATATAGATCAGTGGCTAAGATGAGCAAGCGCGCAGGGTCGTGTCCTCCCCAAGCACCCTCGCGCGCTCGCTCATCTTAGCACTGATCTATATAAAAACACTGTAGTATTGCTATTTTTAGTACATTATTGCGCCTGGGTACGAGGCTGACTTTAGTACATAATCCTTTCCTTCTTGTCTTCAAAGTTTCTAATTCTTCAATGGCTTCTGAATACGACAAGTCGATCCGGGCATATGATGCGCAAAGCTCGCTTCTGAATCCCGCTCTATTTAGTCTGAAAGATATTCCAGGAGACCGTAATGAAATACTTGACATGCGTATTCAAGGATAGATCTTATAAGCCTAGTTTCCATTTGATCGTCAGTTGTCGCTGGCACGACAAGTGGCTGATGTAATAGAATGCCAACAAAACTTTATAAAACTCTGCAATCATTAAGACTGATTTGCATATAACACACAAAAAGACTATTGATATTAGACTATTTCACATCTACCGCTTGTCATGCCAGCGACAACTAACGACCAAATTTGTGATCGTGCACGTAGGAAATCCACTATCCAATTAAACACCGATGGTTTAATACCAATTCGCTGCAGTTTCTGGCAAAGAATTTATGGTCTATTAAATCATATGCCTTCCGATAATCCGTAAGCAGCGCTCGTACGGTTCCGCCCTTCACATCCACAGTTTCTGTCCAACGATGAATTAAGGATATTAGTACAGGAGCCAGGAATAAAACCATATTGATTGGGATCTATACATGACGTTATTGAAGACTTTAGATATGATATGACATTTTCCTCAACGATTTTGCACAATGACGTTTGCAGATCTTTATTAACGTCTAATACAATCTTATTTTTGGGAATGGGACATACGTTTGCTAGCTTCCACACCGCGGGTAGCCGTTCCTCCCGGAAAGACGCATTCAATATCACTTTAACAGGTTCCGCACGTAGATCTGCAAACGATAGAGTCTTAGAAGTGTTATATTTTCTGCTTTTTGGAGTTCATGTACTGCAGCTTTGGTGATTTTAAAATTTAAATCACCATTTAACACGTAACTAGCTACAGTAACTAAATGAAAAACAACCCAAATGCTTAAAACATACCAAGCTAAAAATGTATATATGAAGTAATAAAAATTCAATGCACGTCTTTTTGATTAGTCTGAAGGAGAGCCCACAATTTCGCCAGGCCGGGCTCCTTTCCCCCATTTTAAACACTGAATTCAGAAAGATTCAAAAATAAAAATATCCTTTTGTATTCCATGCATGCGTTGAAAATTTTTCTGTGTACTTACAAAATAATAAATATTATACATCAGTAATTTAATTGAACTATAATTCAATGCAGTTCAGTAACTGAACCCAAATTAAACAGCGCGTTGTATAATCAGCTATTGCTGACAGGCTGACAGCTAGATATTGTATTATATAATATATTGCATACTTAGATTTTAATTAAAACAATAATAACCTAAAAGTATGTACCAGCTACGCATTGTGTTTGTACGCGTGGCATACGCCGCTTCTGCCTTATGTTATGGTTCATCTGGTACTGGTCTATACGCGAAGAAGATGGTGTAAGTTTAATTTCAAACACAGAGCACAGGCAAACGGCCAACAAGATGATGCAATTAAATTTAATTTCAAACTTAAAGCAGAGACAGAAGCATCTGTCTCACGCATCCAAAATATAACATTCAACGTACTCATCCACTCATTCGCATCCACCGGAAAAAGAAAATCGCCCACATTGATTGGAACATTTTTAGTCTTTGCTTGACGCTAAAAACTTTTAATGTATTGTAAAAGAACATGACAGTTTGACAGTTTCTCAATTATTATAGGCTTTCTTTTTTAAACTTTTTTTTTATTAAGCTGTAAACATTGCATGGTAACGTTTCTAATAGGAATTTCAGATTCAAATGTGAGCTAAATTGCTTAAAAATAGTTCTCGATTTCAATTCATGTGAAGAACACACAACTTTCAAAGTGTAGTTCTTGTAAATAAAGGCTTTCCCTGTTCTGCCCCCACACTATTTGGGCAACGGGGGCAGCTACCGCCGTTGCCCCAGTCGTCCGGCGCCCCTGAAAATCGCAGCAAATCAAAAGTTGCAAGATTTTAGTGTACATGCATGGGCCCTTGTGCATGCATGCATGGATGTAAAGTTAGTACTATAAGTAGACATGTATATACAAATAATTAAACTATTTACAATTTTGGTACCATGCAAGCCCGCCCCCCTCTTCGTACTTACGCGGTACTTAATAAATGGAGGGCCCATAATTATCGGGCAATATTAGTAATAACTCAAGTATCATACACTAGATTCTGGACCACACACTTGACCTTCATTGGCGTTGGTCTTTCATGCTTTACACACATACTCAGCTCGATTCAGCAGCACATGGGTGCAAAGTTTTTGATTCCTACTGTAAGCCGGGTATGATTAATTAACGGAACTTCAGACCACGGAACTGCGGAACCTGCGGAACTTAATAATATCACAAGATTGACGTTTACGTTTGTACAATCGAAAGTTTTAAGTTTCGACAGGTTTTTAGCTGTTACTTGCTTGAATTTTAGTTCAGAAACAATCCTAACTTCGAATAGTTAACAGTTGACCTCAAAATACGACTTGAAGTTTGCCGTTTGCGGTTAGCGCTCCGCCGTAAAATCAATCTTAACCTCTCTAATAATTATCCTTTCTCACAGCTAATTTTCCCGCCATTTTTGGGGTACTGCCTCTTCCACGTTTCAGGGCCTCCGCACCACGAAATACAACTTGTTAATGTTACAGTTAGAATTTAAAAAGTCGCTTTTCACGTTGTTTGGATTGTCTAGAATCTTTCACGAGGGCAGACAGTAAAGGCTAATTGACCTTTTCAAACTCCTTCGCTTGTTCTTGTTTTGTTCATGAAGAAAATATCATGGACTTGGATTAATATATTTTTACGAACCAATATTAATACTGACACTATAAAAATAATTTAATATAAGGGAAAGTACATTTATTATGCCGAAGGGGAGGGGGGTATGAAGATGTTAAGGGGTTACTATTTAATTTGCATTTTATTGGAGAC